AAGATTAAAGTATTTAAAAGAAATCCCTGTTAGCAAAAATGAAGGTTACGATATGGTGACCCTATTTCTATTAGCACTGGCTCCGCCCTCTACTGGACTCTATGGGTAATATCTCTCCTCCTTTCACACGCACGTACTCACCCACTGAAATTTGCATTCTGTAAGTAGCCGAACAATTGGACGTTGCTACCGTATGTGCCTAAATATAAAAAGCAGTGTCCAGTAGAGGGCGGCGCCTGTGTGAGATAGAACGTCAGATTTCCTCCTGTTTTGAACAGCTTTTTCTACCAGCAGCTCTGTTGTACGACACACGGAGCTAGATGGAGCCGGTGTAGGTACCAGATGTGATCGGGTGGTCAGAACTGCACGGGGGCCTGGGCCTGCAGGTAACGTCACATAACGTGATTGGCTGTATATTTGTATGATGATGTGGCAGAAGGTGATCAGCTGTACGTCGGAGTGTTTACATCCATAGTTATATGTATACATTTTATTGTTTATTCAAAAATATGATACTGCCATTCATAAAACGTAGCTGTGCAATTCCAACATTGTTTTCTCTTTAATATGATATGAAAAGTGCAAAGTGACTGTTCTATTTTTAGCAGGGACTATATACAAGACTCAAGTTAAATTGCCTTGCCTGAGCAGGAAGTGGTTGTACTTGCGTGAGCTTTGTGAAAAGGGGAAGGAAGGAGGAGTGGATTATTCTTAGAAACATTATTTGTTGTCAGCCTGTGAGATCATATTGATATGATATGAATAACTTCTTTACTGACACAGCTTCCTCTTAGTCTTCCTCATAATGTATGCTTTCAAGCTTTAAAGTAGTGTTTCAGTTTTGGATGTGAAGATGGGACATACTTTGTTCTGTGTGCTGGGGTTATTCTGTGAGTACATCACTGACGTACTCTTTTCGTTCTTACTAAAAACACTTTATGTTGCATTCACAGCATCACGGGTTGTCTAGAAACTGTAGGTTTCTGTTTAATGTGTATGTGTGTGTTGTGACACTGTTGTTTCGTCAGCAATGATGATTTAATACTGTATTTATAAGATGAGATAAACCTTTATTGATATCCAGCGGGTAAATTTGGTTACTCTAGCTTACTATAGACCTACACATATTTTAAATATTTTCTTGTCTTTTTGTTTCTTGGCTGGTGACTGACTTTAAAGTGGAAGACTGTGTTGTGATAATGTTGATTGAGATTTGATATTAGACATTATCTAACCACAGTTGTTTTTTGTTTTAAATGACTTTGTTTATTCTCATTTTGACAGTTTGAGTGTGAAAATATCTGATGAAATATCAATCTTTATTTTAGTGCTGAATACACTCCTCCACTCTGGACATGCTGAAGGTGATTGCACAATCTCCCTTTTTCTGCATCACTCTTAATCACATCATCTGTCTTTATTCATTTATTATCAACATGTGCATCATTTTAGTGCATTTGTATCAACACAAAGGAGAATATGACTATAAAGTGCTTGAGAGTGTTAACTTTCATATTCCAGCAACGTAGCAAACACACAGGCTAGTGAGTATAGATCTGCTTTTAAATTATGTGGAAATGTACTTATTTAGCAAACATATAAATTATTATTAAGTGAGACTTTTTCTAAACTCAGTGTTAATTGTGGTAGTGATTATGATTTCATATTTTGAAAACATTACATTTAGCAGTGGTTTATTGCCACCCATTTTGCTCATGATAACTAGTCTGGCTAAGTTAAAAAAGGAACTAAACTCTTTCACGCAGATAATGATGTAAACCAGGAGGATAAATGGACATGAAGAATGCATTTAATGTTTCGAGGTAAATGTGTTAAATGTGCAGGATCCAAACAGTGCACTCAATCCATAAACAAGAAAAGAGTTTTAATTCTGGGATATCTATTTCCAGCAAATAAAACCAAACCTGTCCTCACTGTGTCTCCATCCTGGCTGAGTCCTGGAGCCTCAGTAACTCTGAGCTGCAGTGTTAAAGATCCATCTGCAGGATGGAGGTTCTTCTGGTTTAAGGCTGTTCCCAAACTATCAGGCAACTCCTACGACCAAGAGCTGCTACCTGGCAGCAGCAACGGGACTGAACAGGATTCCTACATCGTTCATGGACAGACACACACAGCAGGATATAAGTGCAGAGCTGGAAGAGGAGATCCAGTGAACTACACTAATTATAGTAACACTATGTTTGTCTGGTCTAAAGGTCAGTGTGTTAGTGCCTTTCTTTCCTCCTTTTCTTTCCTATATTCTGCCCCCACAATTAGTCATGTAGCTACCTAGCGAAGGAGTAGGTTACAGAGTATAGCAGAGGCATACGTCATCATCATTCATCAACAGTGTTTGGGTTACTCTCACTGCTGGAAAGGAAAAACAAAAGTTCTGCACTGCAGGTTTAAAAGACACTGATTTGTGGTCAGACAGGCACATGGACAGGTGGCAAATGTGGCGCCTGCAACAAATAAACAGGCATGTAAAGAGAAGATATGGGTACAACTAGGAGATTAAAATAACTGAACGGAAAACTATGTGTAAAAAGAAAATACAGTCTAGATTTTCATTATCACATACTGACCCCATTTGGAACTGAAAGGCAGCTGGTAAAAAGCGATTTGTAAATGGATGAGTTGGAGAGCAACCACTGTAATTAATATTAAGACAGTCAAAAGATCATTTCCACTGTGCTGCTGTCAATGTCATGATATCTCTGTGTTTGTTTTGACACCTCATTAGTTCTTTTTCAGATTTTCATCCAGCAACAGTCAGAGTGAGTCCTGACAGAGAGCAGCACTTTTCCTCTGAGCCTGTCTCACTGAGCTGTGAGGGAAACTCTTCTTAGTGGAGAGTGAGGAGGTTCACTAAAGCCGGCCATCTGTCAAACTGTTCTAAGTGGGGAACAATGACTGGATCCACATGCAACATCAACGAACTTCCAAACAAACTGCAGTGTACTGGTGTGAGTCTGAATCAGCTCAATTCAGTAACGCGGTCAACATCACCGTACAAAGTAATTCCTTTTTGTTTTAATTCTTCAAATTTCACAATAACATAATTTAACATCTTATATTCAGATTTTATAGGTGATTATATTTTTGGTTATATTATATAACCAATGCAGTGAAATTTTAAGGAGAGACATGGAACCCGCCATGAAATCAGTTTTTCTGCCCTTCACAGTGTTTATTATTAGACCTCTTATTATCAAAGAATTAGGACATATTGATCCTCAATGGCATTTGTGTAACATTAACCAATTAAATTTTGGGTATGTGATTCTAATCCAATACAAGTCTTTTTGTCAAATTCAACAAATATCTCCTCACGGTCCACTAGCTGTCGGTTCTATGTGTGTGCTGAAAAACAATCTGGTGTTTGGACCCAGCCCAGGTTCTGTAAATGGGAAACAAATAAAATGACTTGGACCGAGCCACACAAGACTTTTCCAGCTGTTCCAGCCATGATTTCTGAACTGCCCACGGACATTCAACTTACTCTCTAGTACACCAACATAGCTGTTGGTGTGATGTTAACTGTATCTGTCTGGAGTTATTGTGCTGGCTCTGGGACTGCCTCGTCCTCTGTGCACGTTAGCTTCATAGCAGCAGTTGTAGCGACAGTTTGCTAACCCACAACTAAGCTAACATTAGTTACATTACTTGCTTTGTAATGGTTCGCTCTATTGCATGGATGTTTCATGGTGTTGGATTTCTCCAGAATTGCACACCATTAATAAATAATAAAGAGCAATTGCTGCTTATTTGTAAATATCTGAAATGATGAATTAATATTGCAATTTTACCTGATCTGATCAGAGCATCAGTCGCAACTTCTCTTTTTGTCAGTCATTAATTGACGCCACAGTGACTATAAACCTCCATCACCTTGGGTTATGTAAGAGTAACAGCAGAAGTGTATGAGCGATGAAAAGGTTTGCAACGACTTGATATTATTTGACTGTTTCACAGATAAAGATGGTGAATCCTGTCCATCCTGTGACTGAGGGACAGTCTGTTGGTCTTGGCTGCAAACTGAGGACAGGGACATCAGATTCTAATATATTTTTCTACCGAAATGGATATCTCATCCAAAATGACAGGAGAGGGCTGAATATTGCTGCAGTGTCAAAGTCAGACGAAGGCTTAGTGGAAATACTCAGGAAATGTGTCACCACATCTGTTTCTTTAAAACTTCCTTTTTCAGAAGCTATGTCACAATCTGAGATAAAAAGAGGTTGTCAAATACTTACTTAATACAAATACTCTAATTAGAAAACTAAAACAGGAGGTTCTAATGTACTGTGAATGTCTAATATCACACAGTCTAACAATAATTACGTATGTGCACAGGTATGTACAGTAAGTGTTAATTGTGTACTGCACTTGCATGGATGTACATTTGGACATTTAATTGAACATTCATTTATGTACAATTTATACTATAAATACTATGTGTATACTGTGTGTAAGCATGTGTGCTCTTAAGTATACACTTGTATATTTATGTGTACATGTATGTTTTTTATTATTATTATTTATTTGTGAAGTATAAGGTGTTAATGTATGTGTACGCACATGTGTGTAGTGTGTGTAGTTTTTACATTTAACATTTATTAATACTTACCTTTTATTACAGCAGCGCCTGATGACTCTTCATTTCTTCTGCTGTTGATTGTTCGGCCAGTTTGTGGAAGTTTACTGATATTCTTCTGCTGCTGTTGTGTTGCTACAGAAAGTCAAAGGGTGAGACTTTTTCCTGCTGATGCTTGATGGTTTATAATCTGACTATTCAAAGTCATTATTGAATTCAGTGCCAAAACAAAATAATGTAACAACATTTTTTTTTTTACAGATTCAAATTTTGCCAAGTGGTAGACTTCTCTTCTCTCTTAGGCACTAAATGTTCCTTATTCATTTACTGAATTTACTAAATTTTATATATATATATATTATGTTTTTTTTATTATATTTTAGGACCCCAGAGAAACCAATCAGGGCTCTGCTCCAGATCAAGTGGTTTACCAGAATGAAACTACAGTGCACTACTCTCATCTGCATGGTCAGCCTTAAAAATTATCCAGATCCATTTATCATTTCATGTTATGACATTGAACCAAATGAACTTTTCAGTTAGTCAATTTGTCAAAAAGGATTGGAATATAATAACTCATCTACTACAACCAGAAAGATCAGAACTGAAAATTGGTTATAGTCATTGTTTACATTGTCTCTAGCTGAAATGATGTTAAACTATGAGACAGAAAAAAACACATATTATTAGCTCAACCATTAAAATAAGTATCATTGCTTTATGGTATAAAATACATTTAATGCAATTTGAGTTACACCTTTGACATTACCCAATTCAAATAACTCAAAGAGTCTAAACATCAATGTCTTTTGCACATATTTATATCTTTAAGACAATCTTACAATATATTTGAGTATATTCATCAGAAAAGTAGCAGCTTAGTTTGTATCCTAAAGTTGAAATGATCAATTTTACCGTGACTTGATTTTCAGGTGATGCTTGTCTCTCTGAATCAATCAGAGGCTCAGAAAACACTGAAAATGTTAGGTAAATTTTATTTATTTACACAGAGAAGAATATTAGAGAAGAGTTATCATAACTGACAATTCTGTAAGTTAAGAAAAGGTATTTTCAGATGCAGATGAATCCAGCTGTCACATACTCGTTGATTCAGCTTAAACACAGTAGTAATAAAGGTGAGTATACAAACAATAAATTTAGTCAAAATATTCATCAGGTCAGTGATTCCTAAATAAAAGACAGTATTAACTCATCTTTTGATGCATCTGCTCATCTTTACAGGGCAGCATAATGAATCAGAGGAGAGCTCCCTTTACTCGAATGTGAAGACAGGATCAGCTGCAGGTACAGTCACTTGCAACAGTTTGTCCAATAGTTTGTTTTGAAATATGCAAAATATTATTGAAAGTGACTCTGTAGTTCAAATCACTCTAATTTTACTTCCTGTTATATTTAGTTTGTTTTTTAACTCTGGTTATGTTGTTGCAGACTAGCCTGTAAATGGAAATTCTGTTCTACAGAAAGAAAATACAAAATACTGTTGATTTTTGCTGTAAAATGATTGCTGTTGGTTTGTTGCTTCGGTTTGAGTTTGTTCTCTGACTCAAAAGATTTTAAATAATCTTAACAACGCAAAAAAAATTTCTTATTTTTTTATTTTATATTTTTATTGATTCTAATTAAACTTGCTTAATGATATCCCCTCTATTGTTGTAACCTGTAACTATTTCATTACCATTAAATTCTATAAAGAAAAACACAATATCTGCTGTGTGGTTGGTTTCACCTTTGGGCTTTGCAATACTGTCATTTAACCTTTACCTAGATAATCTGTCTGCAGTTCAATGTATATTAAATCTGTTATTGGTAAACATTTCAAACTAATCGTCTCTCCGTTCATAGGAAGATCATCATGGAGTTTTTTCATTTTGGAGTATACAGGAAATCAACCCTCTTTAC